GGTATCAGATGCTGTGCACATGGGAGGATTTTTACTGAAATCTTTTTACTTTTGGGCATTTGTCATGATGCGTAACCATGGCAACAATGTGGTTTTTAACAACCACAAGCGGCCGATTAACATCTTAAAAGCTCAAATACCTCAACTACAGTCCCAAATCCCAAATGAGTTGGAAAGGAGGTGCCATGGATGAATTCCCGCCAACCTGACGGTGGTGCTCAAGTACCTGACCACCGAGATCCTGGAGCTGGTGGGAAACTTGGCTTGTGACAACAGGAGGACCGGGATCATCCCCCGGCACCTTCAGCTGTCTGTCCATGGTGATGAGGAACTCAGCAGACTGCTGGGAGGAGTGACCATCGCTCAGGGAGGAATTGTGCCCGGCATTCGGACAGTCCTGCTGCTCAGTAGGACCGAGTGGCCCGCTGGATCTGACAGCAAGCTGGATCTGTGTGGATGGATCTTTTGCCAGATTCTTCGGATTCGCTGCAGGAGATCCTTCCTGCCATCAGCTATCAGCATCTAACAACTCTTGAATGAAACCAGGATGATGAGCTACGACAACAATTTCCCTCTGTGATTAATAAAGTATTTTTGAATTGAATTGAATTGAATTGAGAAAGGATCATGAAAAGCTTGTCAGTTAACAGCTACAGATTCATACTGTATGTGGCACACAGGTTTATATAATAAGGCCGAAGAAGCTGTTAGCATTAAGCTCCATTTAAAGTGAAAGTCTATCTCTGTGGATGTTGGGCTCTGTGGAAGGAACTCTTTGAATGGCATCAGTCTGGAGAAGCAAGGCTCAAGGCCCTACTTACACTGAGACACTTTCTTCCAAGGTAATCGTTATGTTTCTTGTTCCTGAGAGCCAGCTACATCAGCTCCAAACTGGAGACAGGGTCTTGGTGAAGGAACTCAGGATGAAACACTGAATGCTAAAACCCCTACCCGGTGCTTTGACCACCAGCAGAACAGAAAGGCCGGCATGGATCCACGCCAGCCATTGTTAAATGTTCTGACCCCACCAGACACTAAACACGCTGGAGCACTCACCTCTGAGTGAGTAACGACAGCACCCACTTCATGTGTTCATGCACCTGTACACACGCAGCTCTGGAGCAAGCCATAATGACGCGTTTAACTGAAAGTTCACAGCCAGACAGGTGCAAAAGCCTCACCTGAAGCTGAAACACTCAGGAAGACCAAGCTGTTTGGATTACACTGATGAGTTGTGGGTCCTTGGTGATGTTTTGACTCATGTGATCGGACGTTTTCTCAGTTGTTGGCAAATTAAAGGTTGATGAAATCTAAATCTGTTTGCTTTGTGAATTAAAATAGTTTTTTCACAACAGTCAGCGTCTCCGTCCTCGCAACATTGTGTTAATGATTTATAGTTTCCTTGTTCACATTCTTTTTGCATTCGTTGCGAATATTGTACATTTTGTAAATAATCTTATCACTCCATCACTAAAATACAAATGATTATGATAAGCTAATAATATTATAAGCTATGTGGAAAACTCCATTTGAGCTTTTTCAAGTTTTTTCCTAATTTTAATAGTTTATAGAGTTAGATTTAGTTTTTCCGTTTTTTTTTTATTTATTTATTTTAAGTAGGGTTTTTATATACTTTTATTGGAAAAGGAAACTTTTTTTTTTTGTCCTTTTTTGGGAGTGGAACAGAACATCTTTCATCTAAACGTTGGGTTCAGTGATCCTCGACTGATTTTTAACATTTAACTTGCGGGCTCTTTCAGGAGTTGAACCCAAAATCTTTCTATTTAGCTCCTAGACTTAATGGTAATTAAATATTTTTGGCTGTAACTGGGACCTTGGGTACACAATTTCATGTCACCTCATGTACCAACAGAAACAGTTAAATCATGTAATATGGACCAGTACCACATGTGATGCAATTAAAAATAAAGAACCTTGAACATGAGAATTTGTTTTCTCCATCAACTATCACAATTTTTTGCATTTTAATAATAATAATAATAATAATAATTCAATTCGATTCAAATTGAATTCAGAAATATTTTATTTATCCCAAAGGGAAATTATTTGTTGTTGTAACTTGTTATCCTCATTTCATTAAGAGATGTTATAGATACTGATGACTGTAGACAGGAAGGATCGCTTGTAAAGGTCCATCCCACAGTGGATCTTAAGAAACTGGCTGCAAATGTCGTCCGATCCGGCCACACAGACTCGGCAGTGTTCTGGACCAACTGGAGGCGTCTGAGGGAGGACTGGCTGACTCCAAGGTAAAGAGCGTTGGAGTAATTCAGCCGAGAGGTGACAAAGGCATGGATTACTGTTTCCAGCTGCTGTTTTGTAAAGATGTGCTTTACCTTAGCCAGCTGTCTGAGGTGATACAAACTGGGTTCACAAGAGCCACTAGGACCAAACACCATCACTTCTGGGGGTTTTTTTTCATTAAAATTTAAGAAGTTTAAAGACATCCAGGCTTTGATGTATTCAAGACACAACAGAAGTGGCCTGATTGAGGGGGCATCTTTCTTTTTAGTGGCATATAGATCTGACTATCATCAGCATAACAGTGAAAAAAGATCCCATGCTTTCTAAGGATTTATCACAAGGGAAACAGGTAAAGGGAGAAAAGCAGGGGACATAAAATAGAGCCCTGTGGAACCCCAAAACACAGAGAAGCAGTGGAGAATTCAGAACCAGCTATGTTGACAGACATGGTTCTGTCTGCCAGATAAGACCTAAACCAGCTCAGTGCAGTACCACAGATACCCACTTGGTGCTGTAAGCGTGATGTTATAAAGTTATGGTCCACGGTATCAAAGGCAGCGGTTAGGTTGAGCAGGACAAGAACCACATGTTCACCAGCATCATTGGCCATAAGAATGTGGTTAAAAACTTTGCCTAGAGTTGATTCTGTGCTGTGGTGAGTTTTGAAGCCAGACTGAAAAACCTCCAGGATATTGTGCTCATCCAGAAAACATTTTAACTGTGAATACACAATTTTTTTCTAAAAATTTTTAAATAAAAGGCAGCTTGGAGATGGGCCTAAAATTAGCCACGACAGTTTGGTCTAGGCTTTTTAAGCAGGGGCTGCACCACAGCATGTTGAAAACTTATTGGGACAACACCTGAGGACAGACTGCTATTGATAACAGCAAGAATCACCTGCCTGATGCTGGAAAACACCTCTTTTAAAAGACAAGGGGGGACAAGGACATGAGGAGAACCTGATGGCTTAATATGGCTGATCACATCCTCTAAAAAGGTCAGGGTCACTGGTTCGAATCTATCGAACACAGCCAGGCAGGGGACCAAGCAGGAGGGGTCAAAAGCAAGGGCTGGAATAAGGGCCCTTGTGATAACAACCTTATTTATAAAAAAAACTGCAGGAAGTCATTACAGAGTTCATTTGAGGCTTGACAGACAGGTTGTGGGGCCTTCAGGACAGAGTCCATCCATCCATCCGTCCATCCATCCATCCATCCATTATCTTTTACCCGTTTCTTCCATTTTGGGTCACAGGGGTCAGGACAGAGTCAATAGTTTTAAAAATAATACATGGATTATTATGATTGGACACAATAATGTCTGACAAGTGTTGTTTTTTGGCCTCTTTGACAATGTTCTGGTACTGACGATGACAGTTTTTTAAAATGTGAAATGAAACCTCCAGTTTATCCTATTCCATTTGTAATTTTTTTTTTTTTTTTTTTTACTTATTGCCAAACAAGAACAAGGCAAATTACATACAAACTATTTAGTCTCGAGACTGGGCCACCTCTTCAACAGCAAAAACAATATATATTTGTCATTGTACAGGGCTAAATAAAAACAAAAACAAAACAAAAAAAACAACAACAACAAAAGAGCTTTATGTAATTAAGTTAATAATAGGTTCCCACAGTCTATCAAAGCTCTGAGTTTTAAAGTGTAGTTGAGCCGTTAATTGTTCCAGTATGTACATATCTTATTTTTGGAATCCACTGATCAATAGTTGGTGAGTCGGCTTTCATCCAATTGACCATGATAATTTTTCTTGCTGTCATGAGGAGAATATGTGTCAGAGAGCTTTGATCATGGGTGAGGTGATCATGGAACTCATCAAGTAAAAAGATGACAGGGACAAAAAGTATTTTTATCTTGAATAATCTTTCCAACACATTCCTGACACTTTTCCAGAAGCCCCGCACCCAAGGGCAATCTCAAAATATGTGGGTGTGGTCACCCACGAGACCACATTTTCTTCAACAGTCACAATTATTGCCACTCCCAGAAAGAAAAGTCTTAAATGGAGTTTGAAAAAAACAAATTTTGCATTTCCAATCAAACTCTTTTCAGAGTTGACTCCTGATTCCCCTGTGGCAACCAAAGCAAATATTCTCCCTAGCGTCATCATCCAAAATGACATTTAGTTTCATTTCCCGTTGTTGTTTAATGTGTGCATTGTAATCTTAACACAAACATTTCCCTCATTTAGGTTTAATTAAAAGAAAATAATAAAAGTAAGAGGTCGTTTAGCTATTGTTAGGAGGATTTGAGTCAGGTCCTCTGAACGGGTTCTTCTTTGTTGAATGTGGATCAACAAGTTTGCTAGTGACAGCCAGATCACATGCAAAAGGAGGACCATCAGTATGATGACCAGTTGTTAGTTTCCTGATGGCCCCAATGTCCTGGCCTGCTCATATACAGAAGAATCTGTCCAAAGGACCTAGCTGACTCAACCTTGTTAGATTTATCTACCTGGATAATTGAGCATGCATTAAGACAATTAGAGAAGTTATTTATTTAAAATGCAAATAAGTGGATGTAAAAACAAAAGACCCAATCAGTCTGATTCACAATGCGAGATGTTAACTTAAGGTGCCAGTGTTCTTTTTATTGGCTTTTACCTGCAGGCCGAGTGGTTTCCAGCGGACGTTCCTGAGCAGAGCCGGAGTAGAACTCAGGGTGTTCTGAGGCCTTTTCTTCAACGTGAGAATGACTCCACATGGGTCTTCTCTGAGAGCATTCACCAGGTTCTTTAGCTGCCATCCCACCTGAAGAGACCATACAAACTGAGCAGCTGAAACAGCTCCTGTAAACCACTTCATATGAAATAAAAGTCATTAAAAAAATTAAGATGAACTAACATTATTTGAAGAAATGCAAATAACCCATCACCTTGCATGGTAACATCTTATACTAAACACAATTACTGCTCAGAGTATTTGATGGGAATGACTCTCAACCATTGGCACATTTTAAGCTAAATGTCTGTAAATAATTAATTATGTCCAACTTTCTGCGAGTTTTATTCAAATCCATTCATTGATTCATGAGATATTTTACTAACAGACGGGGTTGACATGAAAACCTATTGTCAAAGACCTTAAACAATATGTCTGTGCTCAAAGTATGTGATGGGGATGAATCTCTACTACTAACACATCATTTTTACTCAATGTCTGTTAAAATGACAGAGGTAAAGATTTTATCGCAATTGCTAAATTTGATAAAATGTAGCCATCTGGAATTGAGATGACTCTAAAATGTAATTGTTATAGACGTACATCCTTACTTTGAGTTTCATAAAATCTGTGCAGTGGTTCAAGAAATATTTTGTTACTTGCCTTAATTGTGGCAAGCAACAAAAACTCCTTTCTCATTACTGTGTTGTGAGGTCCTTAACCAATTGACATTAACTAAAAAAAAATGAAGGGAAAGTGTTCAAGACAAGACTGCATCAGAGTTGCTAGAAGGGGTGGTCTACAAATTGTCATATTAAAGTAAATGGTAGATCAGCCTGTAATATAGAGATCAAAGACAGATGAAATTGCTAAAAGCACAGGAAGAGAACTGTGACGTCTTCTTGTAGCTAAGACCAGAATGTCTCACTACTCACAGTCTTCATAAGGTCAGTGACAAAAATGTTTTTGGCTGTGTCTGTGTTTGTTTGTTTGTCTCCATCCATCCATCCATTATCTTCTGCTTGTTCCAAAGTTGGGTCGCGGGGGCAGCAGCTTGAGCGGGGAGGCCAAGACATCTCTTTCCACAGTCACCTCTTCCAGCTCTTCTGGGAGGATTCCAAGGCATTTCCTGTCCAACCGAGAGACAGTCTCTCCAGCGTGTCCTGGGTATACCCAGGGCCTTCTCCCATTCGGACATGCCTGAAGCCCCTCCCTACCAGATGCTCAAACCTCCTCAACTGGATCCTCTTGATGTGGAGGATCAGCATTTCTACTCTGAGTCTCTCCCGGATAATTAAACTTCTCACCCTATATCTAAGGGAGAGTCCAGCTACTCTGCAGAGGAAACTCATTTCAACCGCCTGTATCTGTGATCTCATTCTTTTGGTCACTACCCAAAGTTTGTGGCCATAGGTGAAGGTAGGAATGTAGAGCGAATGGTAAACAAAGAGCTTTGCCTTACAGCTCAGCTCCCTACTTGCCACAACAGACCGGCATAGAGTTTGCAATACTGCCAATGCTGCACCAATCAGTCAGTCAGGCTTGCACTCCATTTTTCCCTCTGGTGTGAACAAAACCCCAAGATACTAGAACTCCTCTACTTGAGGCAAAATCTTATCCTTGACATGAAGACAGCAATCAAGTATTTTCTGACTGAGGACCTGCCTCAGATTTGGAAGTGCTGATTCTCATCCCAACCACTTCACATTCTGCTGCGAACCTCTCCAGTAAGAGCTGAAAATCATGGCATGATGACGCCAACAAGACCACATCATCCTTCAATAGCAGATGGAATCCTGAGGCCACCAAACTGGACTCCCTCCTCCTCCTGGCTGTACCAAGAAATTCTGTCAATACATGTTATGAACAGAATTGGTGACAATGGGCAGAAGAGAGTCCA